GTGGGGGATGGAGGCAGACGCGGTGGCACAATTTGATTACAGTTTCTTAACTAAAACCTTAACGATATTTCACGTTGCAAAAAGGTTGTTTATTGAGAAAGAACCAATGTATTTTGGGCGCCAATATCTGGCGGACGTCAATTGAGACGCCACGTAATAAGTTTTGTAAAAGAACATAAAATATTCCTATGACAAAATTATTTAGGACAAAAAATAATTATTTACCACTTGCACAATGATGCTCTAGACAAATCTGTTCTCTAAAAAACATACCAGATTTAGGAATTTGCCACATGTTCAATAATTGCCAAGGTATCTACAATAAAAAATGCTATGGTAAAAACGACAAATATTTTTTGCTGTGGCACATGCACTAAAAATTACATGGCAATATACTATTTGTTTCAAGAATTGCCTTGATTTCGAAAAAAATTGTTTAAAGAAATTGCCGTGAGATAAGTATAAAGCTATTTCAAGAATTGCCATGAATTAGAAAAAAACATAATTCATAAAAATATCGTGTGAACATTATAATATTCCTGAAATGTTTGCCATAAAAAATAAATTTACCAACATATAGATTCAAAAAATTTCCATCCTCTTAATGAAATTGCTATGCTCTTCAAACTAAAATTGCATGTCGTAAATAGACATTCCAATAACATATTTGCATGAACTTGCCATGTGAACATAACAACCTTTTCTAAAACTTTCCATGCTAAAAAAGGTGGTAGGTATGAAAAACAAAAAAATAATCATAAACTTGCCATGTGAACATAAAGAGTTTATGTAAAATTTCTCACGTGAATGTCACAAAAAAATATTGCATGTTTTTTATGAATTAAAAAATTATTGCATGTTTTTTATGAATTAAAAAATATGTAAACTTGCGATGGTAGCCAGAAGTAGAAATTAAATGCCAAGGTCAATGCAATAATTTTTATTTGGTCAATGCAACAAAATTGCCATGAGAGAAATTATTAAAAATATAGTGTAAAACTTAAAAGCGCCCATGGTAAAAACTTCAAAATTTCCTACCTGACTAGTTTGTAGCTAAAAGCAAGTAAATTTGCCATCTAATGAACCTGGCATGTTTTTTAAGAAAATGTTCTGTTATTTCTTTCATGTACTATAACTAAAATTTCAAAATATGGCACAAACTTTTGCAAATTGTTTATAAAACATGGCAAACAATATTGAAATTTGCTATGTTTTGAGGAAACACAAATGTTTCTGAATTTTGCAACTCATTTCTTAAAAATTGCGATGTCACTATAAAAAATGCCATGATTTTGAGAAGTAGTTTAACTTAAATTTGCCATGTACTGATACGTCTTCAATGTATCTATAAGTTTTTATTGTTTCATGTTGTTTTATTATCAATCTTGGATGTTTTATAATCATTTTATAGTCATTTTATATCATTTTTTGGTATTAACCTATTGACATGATGCCAAGTGCCAGTTGCTGTTTTTTCCATGTTTTCTACATCGCAGAAAATCAATATCAAATGGAGCCCAAATGCTACGAAACTTTACGGAGATTTTTTATGGACCAGAAGAAAGATGTTGGGCCCTGGTTGCACCTGGGGGGGAGTCCCGATGAGAGAACAACCCACCAGGATGCACCGGGAGGCCCAGACGCGCCCTGGTGGGTTGTGCCCCCCGGACCGCCTCTTTGCTCTATAAATACCCCCAAAATATTAGAACCCTAGGGGAGTCGACGAAATATTCATCCAGCCGCCGCAGAGTCCAGAACCACAAGATCCAATCTAGACACCATCACGGAGGGGTTCACCACC